CTATGTCTATTCTCCTATGATCTTAACTTCACTACCTGGAAAGAAAATGTTATCTCCTGTTATCTGCTATAGTGAAAAATAATGCAAAATTATTTAATATCTCTAATGCCCATATCCTCCAAAACTCGTTTCCACAGACTAGATTTCCCACTGAATTAATAAATTATTCTACCAATAGCATATTTAAGGAAATATGATTTCCTGTGGCATTCCCACATGTCTCCCTGGCCAATAACCACATCCTTCACAAGTCTGCTGCCTATGATATCTTCAAGGTCTTTCCTCCCTATCTCCCTCTAACTTAGAAGCAAGAAGCAGCACATGTTGCAGCTAGTTCCAAAGCAGAAGCGTGTTCATTGCATTTTAGTACCTGCATTCTGACTGGCTAGGCAGCAGCCCAAACAGACCAGTTATGTTGAACTCCACTTGATTTTAGCCCTTGACTGGAATCCTCTCACGGGTCTTCCATTTCTATGCACTTGACATTTTTCATGAAACAGGTTAAGAATGTACTATCTTCAAGACTAATTTATTCTGAACTTAGGGAATTTAGACAGGGGCTTTCTCTTTCTTGTCTTCTCACGATCTTTTGAGCTCAGATACCTCCTTAATTATACTACTCAGCCATTAACTTATCAGGCCAATACTGGCTCCTCAAAGGCACACATTTTCCATAGAGACCTCTGTGTTGCCTGCTCCCAAATGTATTAGGTAGTTATCTAAAGGAACACCTTGTTGTTTTTGGATATTGTGGAGTACTATAGTTAGATGGTGGGTACTGCAAAAGATCTGGTAGTGTTTGAAAGATCTCTTATAGATACTGGTACAAACAGTAAATCTGTTTTTAAGTAAACAAAATGGTAACAAAATAAATAAAATGGTAACAAAATCCTCAGAAATAAAAACTAACATTCATTGTTAACAGCTATAATTAACAATGTTCTCCGTAGCAGCTCCACTGTATTTATTAGTTTGTAACACTGAATATTCATCTTTTGTAATCTAACTTGAGATTGTCTTACTCCAGAATGTCCTTAAGGCAACATTTTCCCTGCACATACCATTAAAGTCAGTTACAGAAGTTACCCATAGGAAAGAAGTTACCCAGCTGTTCCTCTAAGACAGTCTAACATTGCTCTTATTTCTCTCTATTCATCTCTCTCTCAACCCTGCAAATGGGCAGTAAGTCAGCATACAGTGATGCACAGGATTAAGTAATTATTCTTATGGGTTCTAGATCAGTATTTCTATTGTATACCACTGTAAAGGCACTCTTGCTTTCTCCACATTGCCAGCATGAAGATGCACTGATAAAATTTGACATGATATAATGAAAAACATTTTTCAAAAACACAAATTAATGAAAGAGAGAATGTTCTCACATACTTTGTGAGAGAGTCTGTGATGGCTGAAAACTGTGTACAAAAGGGAATGAAACCGCACATCGCTAGAGCTTTACCTTCCTATCATCTCCACCTCCCATTTAATAAGAACTGTTCACTTAATGAGTATCTCTCTGAAGTTTCCATCTGGTGTTTCAGAAGTGAATGGAGAGGACTGACAAGACAGAAAGCTGATGTAATCACAAATTTTTTTTTATCTTAAGATGACAGAAACACTTAACATTTTCCCTTTGAACACTGTCACTTCAGCAGCCCATTGGCTTAATAAATTGAACTGATTTAATACAGAGGAGAGAATACAAGAGTAAGAGAGAAAACGTAAAACGGGTTCTTTGGACATGGGTAGGAAACAGTGAAGAACAGTAAAGATTGGAGAGGAACAGAGGTAGACTCCCAACCAAGAATGGCAACATCATTCCAAGCACAGCTGTTGAGGCTACATTCCTGGGAACCCCGGAGACTCACGCTAGTACACAGATACCAGAAGCAATTCTCACAAGAATGGGAGTGAAAAACAAGCTTCCCAGCTGCTCTTGGAAGGAGGTAATGTATTCAGATCACACCCCCTCCCCTCCAAGACACAGCTGGGCATAACCCAGGGAACCAAGGCACAAAGGCATTCAACTCTCACATAGAAGTTCTTGCCCTTGGAAAAGAAACAGTCCACAGCAATAGCAGCATTTTCAAAAGTCTCTCTTTCACACACTCCCTCCAAATCAATAGTCCTAATCTTGTCATTAAACTTAATTAAATCCAAACATCAAGCACCTTTCATACCAGCCAGATACTTTCCAACAATGAAGACTAAGTTTCTGGAGTAGCTTTAAAAAAATTGTGTCTTTATTATTTAGGTAAGCAATATTCTCTTCCAGAGCCATCTTCATGCCAATTAATTTTAGAATGTGTTTACTTTAAAAAGACTAGTATATATCCAGTGGCTTATACAGAGGCCCAAAAAGGGGGGGAGGGGGGGGGAAATAAATCACAATTCAGAATCTCCTGTCTAGAAATGCATAGGAAAGTAGTGTCTTGTTTAACTAAATCACTGACATACTAGCCCTATCTCTAACCTTCTCTGAGTTTTCAATCCCTTACTTCTCCTGCCCCAAAGCCACCAGGGTTTCATAACTCAGTTTGCAAACACACCCATCCCAAGTCTTTCCCCCTTTCAACCCATAACAGTGGTCTTTGACTTTTCTCTCCCACCTGCCTATTGATTCAAACTCCTTGCTTCAAATTCACATCTGTACCTAGTGGCTCAGCACTAGGTGTCCTGGTTCCAGGTCACTCAACAACGAGCCATGAGCCAAACCCTCACTTGGCTCATGCAGTTTTGCTTGTACAAGCACTCACTGCCATACTATCACGCTTTGTTGCATGCTGGTACCTCTTGTCAGCCTTCATTGTCATGGCAGCCTTGTCTTCCCACAGAACTAAACCCCTTTGTCCTTGTTGCAGGACAGGCTTTAAAAGCCAGACTGGATAAAAAATAAAATGAGAATGACTCTTAGATGACAGAAGAGTAGAATATGTCCATGAAAAAAAACCATCAAGAAGCACAAGTAGTAGCCATACACTTTAGCTGTGTTCCTTTGGGACTTGCAGTTGCATCTGAACCTTCCAAAATATCATTGCTTCAGGTACAATTAAAATAATAATCTTGGCTTAGAAATTAGAATGTGCCAAAACTTCAATACTAAAAAAAATAATCAGATTGCCTTAGAAGAAAAACTGTCCTCAACTAAACCATCTAAATTATCATACTAAGCAAGCTTCAGATTTCATCTCTCCAAAGGGATTATTGCAGAAACATAGCCTGGAGAATCACAGTAAAAAGCAGATGTCTAGAACTTAATGGAAACAGGCCCAGGAAGGAAATTAATTGTCAGATAGAGCTCCAGCTCTCAACTTTTCTTTGACTTCTGAATCCTTTTCTACATGGATCTTTTTCATGATCACAGAAGACCACTAATATATAATCTAACCCATGTTTCTCTATTTCATAGAATCATAGAATGGTTTGGGCTGGACAGGACTTCAAGGATCATCTAGTTCCCAGCCCCCCTGCATGGGCAGGGACACCTCATACTAGACCAAGTTGCTCAGAGACCCATTCAACCTGGCCTTGAACACTTCCAGGAATGGGGCCTCCACTACCTCTCTGGGCAACCTGTTCCAGTGTCTCACCACTCTCACAGGGAAGAATTTCTTCTTATGTCTAGCCTAAATCTCCCTTCTTCCAGTTTTGATCCATTACCTCTTGTCCTTTCACTACAAGCCCTTGAAAAAAGTCCCACCCCAGCTTTCCTGTAGGGTCCCATTCAGTTACTGGAAGGTTGCTGTGAGGACTGAAGAAGGCCGGAGCCTTTTCTTCTCCAAGCTGAACAATCCCAACTCTCTCAGCCTGTCTTTGTAGGAAAGGTGCTCCAGTCCTCAGACCATTGGATCATTTCACTAAAGAAGCAAAGCCAGTACAAACATTGTGTGGCCAAATACAAAATATACCAAGGTGACTCAGAAAATCTACATTGTCTGATAGGAGCCAAGGTATTTATTGTTTGCTTGTCACAAAAAAAACGAATTGGCATCTTCATTCTCCTTCTATACATTTCCCACCTCTTCTGTAGGAAAATATATTGGGAGAACCTAGAAATAAAAAAGCAATGCAGATACACTTACCATGACCAACACATTTCCAGAGCTACCACGGCACTTCACAGCCACTTTTAGACCTGAGTAAACCTACATTGATTGACTGGTGACTAAAGAGGTTTCATCTTCCATCATGTACAATTACCAGAGTACACACTTTTGTTACCCAACACAGCTGAGCTCAGGAAGTTACACAGCCCTTCCCATGCAGATCTTAGTAAATTCCTCTTTGGATTCCCCCTTCTACACTTCCTAACTTAACTAACAGTAACTAGCTAGAGGGAAAAAATTAATCTCCAATTCAAGGTGCCTATGCTGGAGAACCTCCAGTAGGCAACTTAATTAACTGAAAAGTGTCCAACTTGAACACCTTTGATGAATGCTACTATAGCATATTATAAAGAAAAAGAAGGACTATGTGTGTAGCCATTTAGGCACAAAAACTCAAAAAGAAATATGAAGCTAAGTGGAAGTCTACCAGAAGCCATCACGTTTAACAAAAGGATTATCACATCCCATGCTAGCAAATACTCGATTATGTATCGTGGAATATAGAATTCAGATCAGAACTCATTCTGCAGACTTCCATTCCCAGCATTGGGGTGACACACTGGAGGAATGAGGAAGCAAATTACATGAAAGTATGAATCTGAGAAGATTTGGTTTTATTATTTAATAAAACCAAGCATGGATTTATTTTTTATAACATTTTCTAATCTTCTGCCCAGTCTCCCTTCTATAAAAGGATTTCAGCAATGTTCTTATCATCTCACAGAAAATTAAAATACCAGTCGTTGTAAACACTTCAAAACAACAGTATGACAGAAATTCATTTTCATGAAATCTACTCCTTCAAGCATGTCTCGGCCCATCCCAGTGCTGACACAGAAGCCTGTGACAGACTCTTCTGTTGCCACAAGGACTCAAGCTTTACTGCTTACATACCTGTTGTGTAAAGAGACTGATGTTGCTTGGTGGGGAATACTGACAGGCTGCCTGCTTTTCTGCCAGCTGCTCCAGTTCTGATGCTACCGTACCAGGGCTATAATGTTTGCCCTGGGAAGAAGTATCTTCTACATCTTTGTGCATCCGGGCTGATCCCATATGCTGCCCACTTGGACTGCGATGGCACAAACCTACCAAACGAGCATTTGGGTATGTTTAGTAAGTAGCATATCAGACTCTCTCAGCTGGCTGATCACAGAGATAAAAAAGAAGGTATGATGCTTCTGCAGATTCTGGGGAGAATACAGCCTTCTATGCTATATGGGTATTATCTCTATGAGCTGTTATCAATTCCAAACCTGCAATCTTTGTATTTATCATAATGTATCTAATGGCACCCAACTGCAGAGAATATTGGCTGGTGTTACTTAAGTTAATTCTATAATGTTTTTCATTAAAGACATATTGATCCCTTTAAATAAACTACCCAGTTGGGAAGTCTGATTTATTTTAATGCTAGAAATGTTGCCAATATATATACAGAAACCCTTGTGAAAATGTGCTGACCCTGACATACAACCTAAAGCAAATCACAGAATCATCATGGTTGGAAAGAACCTCTGTGATGACCACGTCCAACCATCCACATACACACAAAAAAACCCAAACCCTAACAAACATAACCACACAGACTCCACCAGGAAACACCCACAAAAAAACCCTAACAAAAAAAAAATCTAAACAGTGGCAAAATAGTCACTGGAGCATGCCCTGAAGTGCCACATCTACATGTTTCTTGAATGCATCCAAGGGTGGTGACTCAATCACCTCCCTGGGCAGGCTGTTCAAATGTCTGACCACTCTTTCGGTATAGAAATTCTTCCTTATACCCAGTCTGAACCTCCAGGGATGTCATTATTCATTTGGCAGAAGAGACCAACCCCCACCTCCCTACAACCTCCTTTCAGGTAGTTGTAGAAGGCAATGAGGTTGCCCCTCAGCCTTCTCTTCTCCAGACTAAACATCCCCAGTTGCCTCAGCCGCTTTTCATGTGACTTGTTTTCTAGACCCTTCACCAGCTTGCAGCTCTCCTCTGGACACACTCCAGCACCTCAATGTCCTTCTTATAGTGAGGGGCCTAGAACTGAACACAGCACTCAAACTGTGGCCTCATCAGGGCTAGTACTGAGTAGATGAAGACAGTCACTTCCACTGGTCCTGCTGGCCACACTGTTTCTGATATAAGCCAGGATGCCATTGGCCTTCCTGGCCACCTGGACACACTGCTGGCTCACATTAAGCCATCTGTAAACCAGCACCCCCAGGTCTTTTTCTGTTGGGCAGCTTTCCAGCCACTCTTCCTCAACCCTGTAACATTTCCTGGGGTTGTTGCGAACGAAATGCAGGACCTGTCACTTGGCCTCATTGAACCTCATACACTTGGCCTCAGCCCATCAATTCAGCCTGTCCAGGTCCCTCTGTAGAACCTTCCTACCCTCAAGCAGATAAACACTCCCACCCAGTTTGGTGTCATCTGCAAACTTATGGAGGGTGCACTCAAGCCCCTCATCCAGATCATTGATGAAGATATTGAACAAAACTGACCTGAACACTGAGCCCTGAGGGACACCATTGGTGACTGGCCACCAACTAGTTTTGACCCCATTTACCACAACTCCCTGGGCCTGGCCATCCAGCCAGTTTTTTACCCAGTGAAGAATTCACTTGTCTATGCCATGATTTGCCAGCTTCTCCAGGAGAATGCTGTGGGAGATGGTATCAAAGGCCTTACCAACATCCAGGTAGACAATGTCCATAGCCTTCCCCTTATTCAAAAGGTGGGTCACGTGGTCATAGAAAGAGATCAGGTTGGTCAAGCAAGACCTTCCTTTCACTAACCCATGCTGGCTGGCCCTGATCCCCTGGCTACCCTGCACTTGCCATGTGAGCTCACTCAAGATGAGCCTCTCCGTGATCTTTCCAGGTACCAAGATCAGGCTGACAGGCCTGTTCCCCAGATTCTCCTTCCAGCCCTTCTTATAGATGGGCATCACATTAGCCAGCCTCTAGTCACCTGGGACCTCCCCTGTTGCCAATGGTTGTTGATAAATAACGGACAGGCTTAGTGAGCTCTCCTGCCAGCTCCCTCAGCACTCTAGGGTGGATCCCATCAGGCCTCATAGGCTTGTGGGTGCCAAGGTGCAGAAGCAGATAATTAACTACTTCCTCCTGGGTTACGGGGTGGCTGTTCTGCTCTCCATAAATAGATAAATACTTATATTATCAGGACTATAGCTGTGAGCCTGTGTGTGGCTCCGAAAACTTTCCTAACACATTACAGTCTGCATCCATAAATGCCTACAGTTTCTTCTATTCTTCACACTGAGTTTCTTCAGTCCTTATACTAAGGGTGAATTGCTCAACTATGTTCTACCCCAGACTGTCAAAAGAAAAGTCTCTAGATCTTGTTTTTAAGATATTCTTTACTATTGTAATGCTGAAAAGTACTAGACAATGTGATACAGTAATGATGCATTCAGATCTTTCTTCTTTGGAGGTCTTGACAAACCTTTAAGTGTTCAACAATTATGAGGGTTTCATTAACAGATTTCTGTGTCTTATAGAGAAACACAGAACTAAGGAGAGCACATAGCCTGAGAAAGGACTTCTGCTAACCAAAACTACATTAAAATCACAAGATAAAAAAGATATCAGTAATACAATCAAGCAAAAAAAATACAATGTTTCATTTCCCAGCTCTTCTCAAAGAAGTTCAAAGGCTAAGTTAAAAGTTCAAGGTTGTGGGAAGACCTTTTTGCTCTCTACAATTACCTGAGAGGAGGTTGCAGTGTTAATATCCCAAGTAACAAGCGACAGGACAAGATGAAAGAGCATCAAGTTGCACCCAGGGAGGTTCAGACTGGATATTAGGAACAATTTTCTTTCCAAAAGGGTTGTCAAGCATTGGAACAGGCTGCACAGGGAAGCAGTTGAATCATCATCCCTGGAGGTAGTTAAAAATTGTATAGATGTGGTGCTTATGGACATCACTTAGTGATGGGTTTGTTGGACTCTATAATCAAGGGGGTTTTTTTCAACCTAAACAGTTTTAAGATTCATTCTTCATCTGCTCAATAAAAGGGCATCTTTGGCAAACAAGGCCTGCTTCCTGCACACTTCCTTTCCAGGAGATACTTAGCAAGATTCAGCAAGATTCTTAATTTTGGAATGCAAAACTTCTACCTACTCCAGAACAGAGATTACACAATCTCTATACTAACTGCTCTATGCAGCCCAGAACACTCACCTACTTTTGCAGACGGTGATCGGGACAATCTTTGGCTGTAGATCTGAGCAGCTCTCTGAAGAGATGAGAATGGGCCAATCGGGCAGCTACCAGAATGACAACGATGTGACACTGCAAGGCTAGATGCCTCACTGGATTCTGAGTTTGTAAAGGCAGAAAAGCTGTCAGGAGCTGTGCTCTGTGAGGAGGTTACTGGGGATGGGGACTGAATCAGCCTGGGACCAGCTAGAGGAGTCGGCAATGAATGGTGACCAGGGACCGATGAATTTTCAGAGGCTGCAGGCTGAGATGGTAGCCAGGAACTGGTACTTGTCTGGGATGTGGCACCAGAAACACAGGAAGCAGCACTAGGAGGGTGACACCGAGGTAATTTCACTTCAGTATTTAAGGAGGCAGGTTCTTCTGGAACTAAACAAAGATAATGAGCACACTACATGAGAAAAGCTGCTTTTCAGGTCCTTTGGATAATATCAAAACAACAAAGATGTCTCTGCTCAGACACACTGAAGCCAAAACTACTCCTTCTACCAGCAAAGGCAAGAAGAGACTCTACATGATGAACACTCCCTTTCAAAGCCTGCCTTACCTAGATCTTCTCTCACAGAAAGGTAGCTACCTCTTTCATACTTCTCACTGTACAGTATCTTCTCTTGGATTTAAAAGAAAAACCCGCAGCATCTTCCCCAAAATTGGGTATTTGAATCCCTCAGTTTGAACCCAAAGGTTCCAAACTTTGTTTAAAACAATATTAAAAATAGTATATGTATTCATTATTTTTCCATTATGATGATTTAAACCAGTTCACTTACAAGTTGATTTAACTTCTTTGGATTTATAGCCTTTCAATTCTCCTTCTGCAAGCAGATCTGCAGCTGAACTTTTGGGCTGACCACCTTTTGTTTTTTTCACCACCTCAGGATGCTCTATAACAAAAATGAAGGAGTCAAGAAGTAGAACTATGCAAACTGTTGTATCATTAGAACAGGACTTCAGAATTTAAACCTTGTTACAAGTGACTTTCTTTGCTAATATTTACTGTAGACCATGCACCTGTATTGATCTCAGATGTGGTGTCATGTACAGTACCATGGACTACTGGATATATATGGCTGGCACTGCACTTCCTTCCACTGGAGGCCTAATTAGGTTCAAATATACAGACTATGCCCTCCAATGGGTATGCTCTCTGTAGGCAGCACAGTTTAACAGGTCCTGATTTCGCTCATCCCTTACTTTGATTTTGGCATTCTCTGCTCATTTCAAATCACAGTGCCTCCAGTTCGCAAATTCTCCTTTCAGTCATGAGCCACCATATCTAGTTCTTATAAATGCTAGTCCAGGTTCATCCCATTTCACTTCAGACAAAGAAGGCAGGAGTGCAGTTACATATAGAGTCAGGTTTGGTTTTTTTAAAATATATATATGCAACTTCAAGAAACCTGAATAACATTCTCGAGGGGTTGTTCTCTTTCCATAGACTTAAACTCTATTTGTCTCAGCAACATCATCTCAGAACTGCCTGCAACACTTACCCCCTTGAGGCTGTTTCTCTGACTGGTTACTGATGTTGCTGGATTTTGTGCCTGTGGAGTTTGTTCCTAGGAAGACACTTGCCGACTTGTTTTTGTGCGTGTAAAATGTCAGCACTTCCTCCAGGTCACTTTCACTAAAATAAGGAGAGAAAAATGGATGTAAGTGAGGATTCTAAGCTTTTCTGCATTCAGGTAACAAAAAGAAGAAGTGATATGAAGACTGAAGAGCGGAATGGGAAAAAAAAGTAAGGCCAGACAAGCTAATGATTTGCTCAGTTCTGCAGGGCAAGAGCAGAAAGAAAGGAACATGCCTTGGTTAAACCTAAGATTTCCATGGAAATGCCTTTTTATTTCACAGTAGAAAATTCAAGGCATTTAGGAGTCTTCCCAGGATAAACAAAGAGCAAATGAAAACTCCAAACACATTTCTGGGGAGATCATCTCAACAGGAGAGACTCAGTTCACAGCTAAATTTGTGAATCTTCCCCAGGTCCTCTCTAGAATAAGCAGCTATTTTGTTCATGAGAGAACTCAGCTCAGCCTCTATTTTATAGTCATTAGTTTCAATTCAGCAGTTGCAGGAGAAGATGAAAGAGAAGGGAAGAGCTTGTTAATTAGCCAAAACTGCACAACAAACAAACAGAACAGTCAATATTTTTGTGAATCTCTCAAAACTTACATATGTTTCTCATTTTCTTTACAAGAAGAGAGTTTAACTCCCCCACTGTCCTAAAGGTCTATTGGTCCCAAACCAAAATCAGTTACTTGGCTGTTCATATTAGAACTTGTGCAAGCTGTAATTATCATTGTTTTGGTATCTAACATGCTTTTCTTTTGCTTTAATAGTGTTTCCATCAGCATGAGTGAGCAGGTATATGGCAGAGCAAACACCAAAAGCAAGAAGTATAGTGCCAGTAACACTACAAGAAAACATAACACAGGAATATAAATTTGTATAGCACTAGTTATAATCCTTTGAAATGTCCTCTGCATATCCCCCTTGTACTAGTCTTAGCCAGCCTAAGCTTTGGTAAAAGCAACGTCTAAAGCTGATCCCACTTGAGTTTGGATCTTTAGGGCTTGCTGCAAAGTTCACCTTTTATCAATGTGATATCAAAATTAGAGAGTAAATGAGACACCACCAATTATTAAGTGACATTCATTACCGACCTTCTCCTGTGTTGCATTCACTGTACTGCAGAACAAACACCCAAAGCAGCAATCTATCCTCTTTTGCTTAGCTCCAAATGACTGGCACACTGAGTTAAGATTCAAGCACAGCACAAAGTAGTGTCAGAAGCTTGAGTTTTCAAATATGCCTGATACTGCATAAGGAGCAGAAAGAGCACCACTAGAAAATGTCTGATTGTTGGCAAACTGGCTTTTTCTGTTCTTTATCACTCAGGCAGATGATTCAGCAAAAATCTCCAGTCCCAGCCTAGATTGAGTATCAGGCCATGATGGCATGGTAGCAAGTACCATGGAAAACAAGAGTATGCAGCTCTGCCCCAAACAGCCATCTCTTGGCATTCCTAGCAAAAATCCAAATGACGTGCCGTAGGAGGCTGAAGCCATTTTAGTGGCCAGATGTGTCAGAGAATGAAGAGCATGCCAGGGGCTCATGTAACCTGCATGTCTAGTGTCAGCAGTAGATGATAAGAAATAGCATAGTCAGGTCTGTTACCATCTTTTATAGAACCCTGTCTGAAAAGCAGCATTTTTCTTGGAGCCTGTAAATGTGTACCACTAATGACTCCATCAATTATATTAACAAAATGTAAAATAGTTTGTTTTCAAAAGAATGTAGCACAAAAAGAGATTTTAAAGGCTCCTGAACTTCATTAAGAAGCCTCAGCTATCACCCATTTCTAATCAGTCACTAAAAATGCTATCCAAACAGAGGAAAAAAGACAGTTTTGTAACTGATAATGAAAAAGAAGCAGTGACTGTCAGCCTTCCCAGAGAAGACAGAAGGGCACTAAAAAGGCAGGTGAATCTTACGTGTCCAGGTACTGACAGCAGTCCTTGCCCATAGAGGCATGTCATGTATGGGTCAAATAAAGAACTCAAAATAAATCTGGTTTTGTGCTCAGGAATCAGAGACTCTAAGGATATAATTCCAGTTCACTGAATAATTTTAGATCCCTCCATAGTCAGATAGCAATAATACCATTGTTTTTAGTATCATGCCACAGGCCATAAGGACTATTTACCTATTTTCAAAATGTATTTCCTACCAGACTCTTCTAAGTTGAAGGCAGATAAAGTTCAGAGCATGCAGTTAGAAAATTCTGCTTTTTCATTGTGCAAATAACTATTTGCACTGAACTGCCTTAGCAAGCCAAGTAAGAGGCTGGGATGAAGAGTCTAATTCCTTCCTTCCTCACCTCAGAAAGTCCATGGCTAGGGAGTTCCTGAAGAGAGGCAGGAACCATGAGATTTGTTTCTGAGAGCAGAAACTTTACAGCCAAAGTCACAACAGCTGTTCAACCACAACAGTTCAAGGCCATCTGAGGAGCAGCTCTAGTTTAATTCTGCTTCCAAAGTACTGTCACAATTGCTCCAGCATTACAGGAAAGGAGACCATCAGCTCACCAGCATCAATTTGAGATTTATACAGATCAAGGCAAACCACAGCTGTCCTTTGGGAATCTACTTAATGGTCAAAACATCTATCATACATCCTTCCCTGCACCAGATGCTGAAGCTACAAGTGTTTGGTTGCTGGAGGGGAAAAAAGAAAAAAGGTAATTTTCTGTCCCCCAACAAGAGCAGGACCAGGTGCTATAGGTATCACTAAAGGTATCTAGAGGCCTTTAGACCAATCAGATCTTCTTTAGTACAACCCCTTCACCTCCAGGGCCAGGAGATCCTTTATCGAAGTGAATAAAATCTGCTCCTACCTTGCTCTGGTAATAAAGTTCTGAAAACCTTCAGGATTCACTCCCTTCTCCTCCTCTTCCTGTTTGTTTTGTGATTGCTTCTGAACCATCTGCTCTGTTTCCTGTCAATAAGCAGTACCAGTAAGTGTTTCTATATAGTTACTTTATGATCCATGGCATAGCTACAGCACAGTGGAGACAAAAAACAATTCAGTGGGATCTAGGAAAAAAGAACATCAACTCCAAAGAGCTGAATTCTAAGTATTTCACTGTGTGCAATAGAATGGATAAATATAGAGTCTGAAAGACAGTATGCTAAGCATACCCTAAACTCCTCATTCCTCTGCCTGACATAACTTACTAGAATTGATTTGTTGAGAAGAGGTCAAGTCTTCACAAATACATGCTTCAAATACACTCTTTGCTGGGACAAAGAAGTATGGAAGGAAAAATAAATAAATAATTATGTACAGATATTATATCCCCTTCCTACTTTTGCTGTTTCTGTCACAAATACATAGTTCCTCAAAACAGTGTTTATTTGAGCATCTGTCCCAAAAAAAAAAGAGATATTTAGGAAGAAAAAGAGGACAAAAATACAAAATTATATTAAAGAAACTCAGTCAAGGAGCTCTGCTGAGACCATCCACATTTCCTACTGTAAACGAGGAGTTCTCTTAACTTAATTTCTCTTGGCATGCAGTAAATTGCCAAGGGCTTATCTACATACCAAAACCACACTACTTTAGCAAAAGCAAAGAAAGTACAACAGTACAGCCTGTGGCAAATATGCATTTATACACTAAAATATATTGAAATAAAAAATAGTTAGCCTTTATATATGAGAATGAGAGGAAGCTCTCAGATACAAATGATCTTTCTGTTTTACACTAGTAGAACTCATTGACACCAGAGCTTGTATTGACAAAACATTTTTGTTAACTAAAAAAAACCAAACCTACAGGCCTGTCTGAAACACCAATACCAGTCTACAAGCTTTATCTGACCGGACTTGACCTTCACTTCTTTGTGTTCTACCAGTACTCTAAACATTCACAGGATGAGTAGGTTAGATAGATCTTTTGAAAGATAATTCACAAGCAGGAAGAAAATGCCATCCTGGGACATGTCTCTACCCTTCACTACTTAAGTGAAAATCTGGACAATATGAGATCTGTTTTACTTTGTCTGCTGGAGGTAGTGTTTTTTTCTTCTGTGTCATTACAGAAAATACATAATGGCTAGTAGGAGTCCCCTACTAAATCTGAAGTTACAAGTCAGTGAAAGAAGTCTATATGCTGGAATCAGGCATCAAAAAAACCTCACAGCCTAAGAGTCTCTCAAGGGCTTAAACATGTACATCCTAAAACCTCAAGTGATCTGTTCTCACTTGTTTTAACTGAGAAAATATGTTTATGCACTGATTTATTACCAGTTACACAGCCTTACTTTGTGTATTTACTCAAGAGTTAGCAGAAAATCCTAATGTTTTAATACAATTTGAGTGGAAATTATATCCAAAGCAGCTGCGTTCTTCACTCACCACAGAGCCACTTGAGTGTTTTGTGGTTATTCCTAACACAGTAATTCAGCGAGCACTGGGCATAAAAGGCGCTCTCTGGATCAGACTGGTTTCAATACCAACCTTGCTTTGACAGATCAAGTTACCAGATGTCAGCTCTGAGAAGGTAATGTAAGTGAACATCCTCTTCTAACAAGTAAGAGCTTGGAGGCCAGTGTGCACAGCAGCCTCTGAAAGCAAAATTTAAACTACCCTTGTTCTAACATTAAAGAAATGCTGGGAGACAAAGAAAAGGGGAAGCTGTTCTTGCAATGCAAGGATTAGCATGAAACAACTATGCTAAGTACAGCATCTTCGACATCTAAGGAGGTTAAAATTATTTAAACTAGGACCTATTTTATCACTGAGCATGCAGACTCCCATACTACAGATAGGTAGCAGTCCCTCAGTATACCAAACAAATAGTAAAATTTTGTACTCTTCAGTATAAAAAAAAATATCTCTAAAGAAGCATTATAAAAGCAGAGAGAAATGGGAAGAGGCCTTACAAAGCACAAAAATCAAAGACAAGCCAAAGTAAAAGCAAACGGGCAGTTAAATTCCACTTCATTTCAACATTTCTTTTAACTTTTATGCACATGATTACCAGACTTATTTTATAATGTAGTAATAGTGTTGCCTATCTGACAATTCGAACAGGCAAACTACCCATACTCGATGTGTAGCTACAAACAGACCATGTAAATTACAGAACAGAGACTCTAAAACAGCCTGCTGTCTTGACTATGATACCTCAGAAAATACCAGAAACCAAAAGAGCTACCAAAAGAAGAACGAAGAAAGAATTAATCACCTTGTTATAACAGATTATGAACTCGCCCAACTGCTGAGCTAGGATACGACGACGGTCTTTCAGTCCTAAGTGACGTCTGGGGAGTAGCATCCTCAAGGACTGCTGCAGATTGCTGGCAGCTCGCCTCAGGAAGCGTACAACAAGCTCCTGCAAACAAGAGAGATAGAGTTAACAATGGACCAGCTGCAAGATGTGGGGAGAAGAGAACAGAGGTACTACAGCAGCTAGTGGCCGGTGAGAACTAAACACACTGTCCAGAGGAAATGAGCTGACAACTGGCAGGCAAAAGCATTCTGCAATCTGGATTTTTCATATAATCCTACAAGCCGAAAGTGGGGGTGTGCCTTGCCTAAGGTATGTCAGTATTGGGAACACTTGAGGAGCATTTTTCTGAAAAGTATGGCAGATGAAGAAGAAAAAAAAAAGCAGCAACAATGCAGAATAACCTGTAATGTCCAATATCTTAGGAGAACACTTCCAAATAACAATCTGTAATGTTTTTTAAAAAGCCTGAAGCATACTGACATAACATCCTCTCAGGACTATGACAGGGAAGGGGACTTTGGTCAGGTATCTCCACCACAGTGATACAGCCCCACTTCATCACTTTTCATTTATATATTCTATTGCCACAGCCTCTCTACAGCAACAGATCACTACATATACAGCCATGTAATTCCATTCCTGTCTGCTTGACCTCTGGTTGGGGAAACATACAGCAAAGCAGATCCTAAGGCGAGATGCATCCTTCTGAACCCTTCCTGTCTCCCCTCTGGATTTGCTTTTGGTTATGAGCGCGTTTAATGCATAAATGAGCAGCCTCACAGCCAAACGATTGGATTTTGCAGCTCGCCTCTCACTGCCATTACTCCAGGCTGGTTTGAGCTGTTATTTTAAACATTATTTTTCACAGTAGAGCAGACGAAGTGACTCTCAAAAAGCCAGTTTTAATTTCCACTTGGAAAGAGCAGGGGTAACATTTTCCACTGAGTCGGCTGATTATTCTTGACATAGAATTTTATCTCTGAACTGCACTGGCTGTTTCCCTGCAGTATGCATTCTGGAAGAATACATCTGGATTCGCAGAAAACTCAAGAGCCTACTGAACAAAGATCTTTTAGGAAGGTTTATGAGGCTATCTGGGGTTGCTGCACTCTTCAAAATGTATACACATGAAATATAGGACCTTAAAATACTGCCTAGAAAAAGTAATCATATTGTTAAAAAAAAAGCAAACAGCAATAACTGTGCTAGAAAGTAACTTTTTTCTCCTCAGTGGACTTTTTTTTTTTAACTCTATCTAGAATGCAAGCAAGATTTCTAAGGGCAGATGCTTGCAAAAATTAAAACAGTACATAGGAGAGAATGCTTATCTGGGTACTTGTAGTATTTGAGTAGATGTCTACTCAAAACTCTTGATGCAAATTTCAGCTCAGCTTCTGGATCTGGCCAACACAAAGCTTCTTACCATTTGCTCATCCTCTTTGGCAGCCCAGGCAGGATTCTGGATCTGGTCACCAGCCTCCTTTGACAGTCTCAACTGAACGTGCTGTAGATAGGCAGCAAAAGCCCTGCGAGCTTGCACTTTGCTGTGGACCAGGAGAATCAGTCAGCTATCTTCAGAGTAGTAAAGGGAAGAGTTACAGCAGTGAGGTGCAGCTTATGGACCAAAGTACGGTCAACAAGGACCTCCTAGGTGCACAAATGTTGAAGATTAAAGGAAGGACACCTTCACCCCAACAGTATTTTCAAGAATGCTTTCACTTGACCAATACGGGGTATATATTACCGGAGATACAAAAGACAGCAGGCACTAAGATTGTCTCTAAAATTGGAATGCTCTCCTTGCCTTTTCACAGCCTTAGTTATTCCAAAAGACAACAACATGAACCTCAGCAAAACTGTGTATTTTTAAACCAAATTCAAGGCTCTCTTGGGCCTCTCTTTTCACAAGCATTTTGAACACCACAACAACAGACCATAAAATAAATAAAAGGGCTTGATATTGGTGCCAGAGATGTAACAAAGGCCCTGCAATCCCCATTGGAAATGAAAGAATTAAATCTGTGAAAGTGAGCTCTTTCCCTGCTGGCCCAAGGATGCAAGCCAAGTTTCATTGAGCAAGGCACCAGTGAAGAATGAAAGAACATCAGCAAAATCTGCTGTGCAGCTGGCTGAACACATTGAGTAGCTGCAAGCATGAACTGAGGACTAGGGTAGGACTGGGAGGGACACATTGCTTCTCATCCCCTCACAATGGTAGTCACTTTAGCATATGCATCTGTTGTGAGAGAAATTACTGAAAGCTTTGCCTAATTCTGTCCATCGTCATCTTGGCCTAAACCTTCTTCTCCCAAATTCTGCTCTCGCAGTCTCCGTTCTTCCTCATAGTTTTCCCTATAGTCATTACAAGCTGTCCCTTGAATTGCCAAGCATGATGTCTCCTTCTCATAAGGATGCAGAAGCAGATGGGCTTTAGTGTCAGCAACAGATTCCCACTCTATCACAAACAATGTCCTAACCTTTAAAATTGTCATGTTTAATCTTAAAACAAACTAGAGTTTTCAACCCATCACTTTCTTGGAATATTCCAGAACTTACTGTACTGATAACTAGGAATCTTCTTTTACTAGCCAGTCTAGCTTCATATACGAACAGTTTATATTTGCTTTTTTCTTTCTCCAACATTGTCCTATATCTTAAATAATTTCATTTCCTGATGGGTCTCCTACCTTAAATGCATTTATTAACAGCAATTACATCCTTTCATAGTTTTAATTTTATTAGTGTGAACTAATAAAATATGACATCTTTCAGTGTCATCTAACAAAGTACCCACCCTGGTGACATGATGAAAACTAGCAGCTCATCTCTACCTGCTCCAGTCACAATTTACCTATCGTGAACATGGGTGATAGCAACCAAATACAATATTTCACATCAAGTCTTAGAAGTATCTGAAGTGGTAAAACCTAGACCACATTTGGTATTTTTATACATGCATGAGCTAGAATTTTGCAAACCTCCTGTAATCAACAAGCATGAAAGATAATCTTCCCTATAATTAATTCCCAGTTGATGAACACCCAGCTGATAGAATTTCTGCTGCAAATTATTAGCTCTTAGAAGCATACCCTTGCACTTTGCACTGTTGAATTTCATCTTACTTATATTATTGCCATCTTCAAGGTCATCCAGTTATTCCCATATTATTCTACCACTCTTCTCTCATGGTATTAACTTCCAAATACTTTCCATCAGCAAATTTCATTAGCACATTTCTACATTTTGTGTCATTCTTGAATTGACTATTAAAACCAATCTCAGACTCATTCATAAGGAACCTCACCATTTTTCTCTACTTGTTCACTGCTTCTTAAGAATATTCATTTACTTTTATGGTAACTTATGACTCTATGTACATAGAGTCCCTGAAATACCATTAAAAACTCAGTCCAGAAAGTAAGTCTTCCTGGTTTTTATGTCTGTACATTTCATGAACATTTAGTGTTACATATAAATCATACATCATAGTAGCACTTAGAGCTCAATGCATCAATTTAGATAAGAAGTTTAAATAAAATACATTAAAAGTATCCGTGTATCTGCTTAATCATTAGCTTTTGATGCTTCTGTAAGCCCATGCTGGACCCAAAGAGGGCCTAAGCAAATGATGAGTCCCAAACTAACATCCTCTGTGGATAGCTCTACCAGTACTGCAGTAACGAAAACACAATAAAAATACCTGGTTACAAGTCCTGTCTTTCAGTGAACTCCAGAATGCACAGCAGGCCTTCTAACACCTCCAAGCTTTGTATGCTGCTAAGAATTAGTACATCAGGCCACCATACAAAAGAAGAGGCTCTCCCCTGAGGGGTCTCTAGGGCTGCCAGACTTGTGCCAGTAGGAATTAAGGATCCCCACCTTTAGCAATACCAGCACATTCATACAATGCTTTCACTGCACCCAATACTTCTGTGATTACAAAAATCAGAAACTGAAGAAGGTTCTTGTATAACACTGCCTCTCCTTGGGTGTGTAGAATATGCATCCAATACTTCTGTGATTACAAAATGGGAAACTGAAGAAGGTTCTTGTATAACACTGCCTCTCCTTGGGTGTGTAGAATATTGAAACCTGAGGCCTTAAATGCAGGAGCAAGTAACTCCCTTTTCTTTTTACTTCCCTGGGAATGGCACAGTTTGGGGGAACATATTTCATTTGACTGTCACGTCTCCAGAAGTTAACACTCAATGTGTGGACAGCAGAGAAATTGCCTCATCAGGCCAACTACAGGAGAGAGAGAAGTCCTACCACTTACATAAACCAACTGGAATAGGTCTGGTTTCTTTTGGATGAACATGCCATTACTTCAGCTCTTCTGCCTGTTCATCCCACAAGCAAAGCGTTCATCAGTGATAGCTCAGATGGGTCCAAACCCAGCACAATCCTGGAACATGATGTCATCACAGGCCTTACACACTTCTGTGGGGAATCCCAACAGTATTGGGTGCTGAGCAAGACTCTGTCAGGAACCCCAGACAGAGCTTACATTCCTGGCAGGAGTCAGTTCTATAAATAGGTAGATTACAACATTGCTCTGTTCATCCTCAGAACAGGTTTCAGAATCTTCTGTTGTGACAGCGAATGTCCTTGCCACAAGAAGACATCACAACAATCCCCAAATGTATTTGATGTTTCATAAATCTTCTCAGAAACTAAACTAAGAACACAACAAGCAACAATACTTTCCTCTACCTCTGGACATTCTTCACCAAAAACATAATGCTCTTTCTCATCTAGAAGTTGTAAAATCCTACTACACTGACATATATGATCATACTTTCTTTCTGCCTTTCCTGTTCATCTGCAAACAGACAATTTAAGAGAAGGATCATGCTTCTAAATGTCTAGCAGGACCATGGTTTATGTTATACTATACAATCTCCTCTACTTCCTCTCTTTTTTTAAAGCAGCAGAGCTATGCATCAGAACATACTCTGTTCCACGCTGTCCTACTCAAAAACAGGCAATGAAATGTGTCAGTAACTCATCACTCTCAAATGACCTCATATCTTGCTTTCAGGAGGTGATGACCTTGAGCAGAGATTATTATTAGAGGTAAAAATTCTATCACTGAAAATAAGCACAGAAAAATAAGAAAACTAATTTTATGAAGAGGCAGCACTGAGGTATTCCTACCCAATCTTTCTTAGATAGTTTAAGATAAGTTTATACTCACTTCTTTGGAAAAGTAAAGAATGAAAAGACAAATTTTAGAACACAATAGCATAATCAGATTGAAGAACAGCAATGGAAACTATGTCTTACGCTTTTTATTGATCCAACAGGTCAGGCATTTAGGTAAACTCTCAGTCCTTGCACCTATCTCCCTTTTGTGCCATCTAGTTATTAATGGAGTCTATAGTTAGACAGAAATACAGGCACCTTTTTCTAGGATCCCCTCTTCACATTTATTCATAATGTGACACTAAGTGTACATCCTCTATACTTTAGCCAATATTAGCAATTAGTCAAAACTCAAGGTAATATGCAAAAATCTCACCTTAGGTTTCCATTCTTTTGAAGAATCTGCAGCAAGTTAAACTGAGGTTCTGAGTCTGTTTTTTTAAGAATTGGTTCTCCTCCGTCTCCAGTTTCCTTGTCAAGTTCTTTTAGCAACTTGTCCTTACTAGTAGATTTCACCAAGGTAGAGCCCTTTGGCTTGCTTTTCTCCTGGGTATCCAAAAGAGAGCCAATGGTTCTATCAAGCTCTTCATCTTCATCAGCATCCACCTCTTCTTCCTCCTCACCTTCTGTGTCTGACTTGAGGGACAGCTTTGTTGGTTCTGATGTCCCTGTAGTAGAGGAAAAATAACCTATGCTGGTCAAGAAAAAAAGAAGTGGGGAAGACTGCCTTGCTGTTTATACCCTTTGGTTTACTTTTCCTTTCTAGAAGGACAGAACACCACTGTTTCAGAATAGTACCTCAAGTATCACTGCCCTTCATTATTCTTCCTATCTTTCTAGTTGTGTATCAACCAGTTGAGAAGGCCTTTTTTCCAAAATCAGAGAAAAAGGACCAAGATTCTTGTCTTAATATAAGGGAAAAAAATATAATCAAAGAAGCAAAGGCATTTTCCTATTTTTTATCTTGATTCTTACATAAATGCTGACATATATACTTGATATATATACACTATTTTTTGTGGGTTTGTGTCAGAAAAAAACAAAATTACAAAATATAAACTTCCACAAGTTCACATACCTTAATACTGCACCAAAAATAATTTTGTAACATACTAAGTCTCCCATTGCAGTGAGTATCACATAGCTACTAGAAAGAGTTCAGATAATGGCTTCAGGAACTGCCACTTGAGAGGATCATTCACCTCTGCATCCTTTTAAAAGTTTCCCGAATCAGCCTACTTAAAAAGGATGTATCTCTTTCCAAAAGCTTAGAGTGACTACTGGGTATGAGAACCAGCATGGAAGGAACTATAGAGGTGCACATACTGCTGAATTCTTGTACCCAAAATGCAACTACAAGCTCATCTTCAAGAAAATACTGATTACCTTCAGTAGCATACCTGGGGATGGAATGGTGGGAATTAAATTCTAGGCACTTAAGGAGGAAGGAAACTCAGAAGAGGAATAAGAACTATAGAGGTGCACATACTGCTGAATTCTTGTACCCAAAATGCAACTACAAGCTCATCTTCAAGAAAATACTGATTACCTTCAGTAGCATACCTGGGGATGGAATGGTGGGAATTAAATTCTAGGCACTTAAGGAGGAAGGAAACTCAGAAGAGGAATGAAGAGAAACTATTAACACTTGAAATCAAAGCTATTAACTTCATTCTGTGAGTCTTTTTAGGGACTACAAAGGCCAGAACAACCCCATTCCCACACATTTCAAATTTAAAAGTGCTTGCTAGCTTAGTTTGACTAGCTGCTCATTTAAAGATTCTAGCTGTACATACCTGATGATCTTGTTCGTGTTGCTCTAGCCTTGCCATGACATCGCCGGCGCTTCCGCAGCTCCAGTGAAAGAAGCTTTCTCTCATAAAAGACAGCGTGAGAGCCTATACTTTCCAGCCTCATATCCAGCCTTTCTTTAAGACCTGCTCTGGGAAGCAAAATACAGAGACATCCTCAATCTCCCTTTATACTTCTTTCCCTGGTGAGACAAGAGACTTAGTAGATTTAGTAAGTTTATTCAAGAAACAGTTTTCCTGATGCAGGCAATATTTAAGTTCACTCTAACTTTGCTCTGTTGAAAGCCTGAAAACATTTGAAGGCAGTCTTGCAAGTACGTTATAGAACATCACATCTCAGAGCCCCAAAACACACTCATCTACTGTCAAGCTTTCATGACCGAGCAGCATCTGTCCAGCACGCAACAGCTCAAGGCACAACAGGGCAAACTGAATTGCAAGAGAACAAAACAATGGAGGGGAGTAGGAAGAGAACACATGAACCTGAACTCTGTCTTTTGAACTTTTTATGTAGACAGCTTGTTCTTCACCGTTTGGTCAGAGATAAGAATTTTAAACTAAGTGAAAATTACAACCTTTCTACAAGTTCTGCCTAAATCAAGGGAGGAGCCCTGCCAGATTCCTTAAGGGAGACAAACATTACAGCTTTCTACCAGTGCACAAAGATCATAGAATCATAGAATCTTAGGGGTTGGAAGGGACCTCGAAAGATCATCTAGTCCAACCCCCCCTGCCAGAGCAGGGTCACCTAGACACCATCACATAGGAACACATCCAGGTGGGTTTTGAATGTCTCCAGTGAAGGAGACTCCACAACCTCCCTGGGCAGCCTGTTCCAGGGCTCTGTCACTCTCATAGTAAAAAATTTTTTTCGGATATTCACCTTGAACTCCTATGCTCCAATTTGCATCCATTGCCCTTTGTCCTATCACTGGTCATCACTGAGAAAAGCCTAACTCCAGCTCCCTGACACTCACCCCTTACATATTTGTGAACATTGATGAGGTCACCCCTCAGTCTCCTTTTCTCCAAGCTAAAGAGACCCAGCTCCCTCAGCCTTTCCTCATAAGGGAGATGTTCCACTCCCTTCATCATCTTTGTAGCTCTGCGCTGGACTCTCTCAAGCAGTTCCCTGTCCTTCTTGAACTGAGGGGCCCAGAACTGGACACAATACTCCAGATGTGGCCTCACCAATGCAGAATAGAGGGGGAGGAGAACCTCTCTTGACCGACGAACCACACCCTTTCTAATGCACCCCAGGATGCCATTGGCCTTCTTGGCCACAAGGGCACATTGCTGGCTCATGGTCATCCTCCTGTCTACCAGGACCCCCAGGTCACTTTCACCTACACTGCTCTCCAGCAGTTCAGCCCCCAACCTGTACTGGGACATGGTGTTGTTCTTCCCCAAATGTAAAACTCTGCACTTCCCCTTGTTGAATTTCATCATGTTTCTCCCCGCCCAACTCTCCAACCTATCTAAGTCTCTCTGAATGGCAGCACAGCCTTCTGGTGTGTCAGCCACTCCTCCCAGCTTAGTGTCATCAGCAAACTTGCTGAGGGTACATTCTATACCCTCATCCAGGTCGTTGATGAAGATGTTGAACAACACCGGTCCCAGCACCGACCCTTGTGGGACTCCACTAGTAACACACCTCCAACCAGATTCTACCCCATTGACTACAACTCTCTGACTCCTTCCTTTCAACCAGTTCCTAATCCACCTCACTTCCTGGTCACCAAACCCATACCTGATCAACTTATCTACAAGGATGCTGTGGGAGACGGTGTCAAATGCTTTACTGAAATCAAGATAAACCACATCTACCGCTCTACCATCATCTATCCACCTAGTAATTTCCTCATAGAAGGCTATGAGGTTAGTTAAACATGATTTACCCTTGATAAAACCATGCTGACTGCTCTTGATGACCCCCATGTCCTTGATGTACCTAGAGGTAGTGACAAGAACAAGTTGTTCCATCACCTTTCCAGGGATGGAGGTAAGGCTGACCGGTCTATACTTACCCGGGTCCTCCTTCTTGCCCTTCTTGTAGATCTAGCAAAGTGCACTTTATGAGATAAACAGGAATATCCAGAGAAAAGTCCTGTAGCTCCATTTATCTTTTTGATCTAGCAAAGTGAATATATGGGTATATGAAGTCCAAACCCCTTATGCATTATGGGATCTTTTTTAAGAGCTCAGTGATGAGGCTTA